TGAAAAAAATGAACACCCTGACCAAAGAAAGGAACACTGCCTAAATGTGCTATTATGGTGATACCAGGAAACAAATGCAATGCAGATATTTTTTTTCTTTCTTGCCACAGGTAAACATTTGTTATGCAGTGTTACATTTTTATTAGAGGAGTTTGTATAAAAGATTTTTTCCACTTATTCCCTTACCTAGAGATCCTCTTTTTCCAGCCATTTACATACACCCCTACTTACTGACTTCCCCCTATTCAAAATATGGAAAATGAGACAGACTACGTAGATGGAAGAAGTGACATTAATAGGAGAAACTGTCTTTGATCCTTAAGCTTTGTATCTAAAGACCTTGTTTTACGGAGTTTTAACTTAATCGTGTTATTGGAAATCCTTTTAAAGACTCTAGCATGATAGGACTTTTTCTCCCCCTTCTGCCTGTCTACTTCTCATTCATAGTCTTTCATGTGGCTCACAATAACGTATTGTTTCAATCTGTAATTTATTGCTGCTATCTCCTGTAACACCTTGGGAAGAAACAGGATCAGAGATTTTTTTGCTAGAATAAACAGAAGTGAACTCCTCTAAACGTCACCCTCGGGGCAACAGGGAAACAAGCTTGAACATGAAGCAAGTGATTCCAAAACAGTGCAGGAAAATGAACAACTGTGGACATCTTTAAAGGGAAATAGCTAAAAGAAGCCAGTAAATGAAACTAACTTTTTGGCAATATATGAAACTACACTGTAACTCAAACCTGATTTTCAAGGTGGCTTGTATTTTTCCTTCCAATACATCATATGCTGTGGCCCTATGCAGTGAAAAAAACAACCCACACTTTTGGACAACATATGTTCTAAAAGTCATTGACTCTTTCTATAATCTTCTTGCAGCTTTTCTCTTTTTAGCTGCTTGAAACTATGCCAATCTAAGATCAACTAAAGAGATTTAAAGAGGAAAAAAAAGTAATGGACTGCATTATTTCAAGCAGGATGAGATCTCCACTCAGTGTACAGAATATACTAGAAACTTAAACACATTACAAGGTAAATGTCTCCTGATCTGCATTTTTATTGCATTAATTACTATTATTGTTGATGGTTTGAAATCAGAAAAAAACCCCAGAACATACAGACTCATAACAAAGTTAAACAAGGAGGATATGTTTGAGTATTGTACATGATTTTGGCACTGACACAATAAGAATGTCTATTTAGTTTTATTTTTTAATTACAATGACAAAAATCATCACTCCACTGTTTGATCACTGAACCTTCCTATTTTATACTTGGAAATTCCTCTGGTAAACTTATTACCTATGAAAAGATATCTACTCTGCATAAAACCCAGAAGCTGAAAACTTGCTTGTACCGCCAACCACTCTTCCTTTGACATCCATGTGCATTGCTTAATACACATACAGGAACAAAAACAGTATTAAAGCCCCATATTTTAAAGCTGTGATGCCTCCTTTGCCTAAAAAGTCACATGTCAAACTTCAAGCCATTTAATGTTTCATGTAGATACTTAGTAATTTTGAATGTTTAAAAAAAAAAAAAATAAAAAAGATAGTTAACACTAATAACCCAGCTGCTCCCCTTCCATCCAGATAAACACTGCTTTTGGGGGTAATAAGCCAGATTTGACATTTCTATCAAAGACTTGCACTTAAAAGTCATACAAAAGGCATTCAGAGTATCAGTGAATGACAACAACCAACAATCGTTTTCAGGAGGTGACTCCCAACATGTCTCACCTCATTAATTCCTTAATGAACGCACCCTAGTAAGATATGTCTAACACAAAAGAGAGGACAGGCTGTGGTCCATCCACCGTGACCTGGACTGCAGTTCTGAGAAATGCCATGTAGATATCTCAGCTTCACTCCAAGACATTAGCCAGTGCTGTAGCTACATTTTTTTCTACTACATGATTTTTGATACGTGGGTGGAAGAGAGAAGTGGGTGCCAACTTCTTCTTTTCATTCCTCATTTGACAGCTTCCAGTTGCATTCCCCAGTTGAAGAACTGAAATCAGCCCGCCTTCCTGATACCTGCTTATTCAGACAATATTTCTCTATTTCCAATCTTAAAATGTTTTACATCAAAAGCCTTGATATTTTAAATATCTTGTTCTTAAATTGAATGAAAAGGTTTGCTTTATTTGTCTGACAAGTCAGTGTATTGAAGTATTAGAATTTTAAAGAAATTAACTTATTAATTTCAAATGTGTCATATTTTGCATGCAAATAATCACCAGCTGTACAAATAACATTTAAAATCGTTAATTACTGGCAGACTCTACAGTGTCTCCAGACTTCACAGACATTTTCACAATCCAAAAATTGATTATCTCAAAACCAAGGATCAACAAGAAAGACTGATTCAAGGGTAATGGTCACCCATGTACTGATGGTCCATCTAGGAAGATAATCAATCAATAAATCTCTGTTTCCTCAATAGCCAGACGGTGAAATTAAAGAACATGCTCAGTCCCTAACAACACTTAAGTGATCCACCACCACTTTCCTTCTTGCATCACCAAGATTTTGCTGGGGATGACGTGAGCCACAGGAGCTTTACGTAAATATTTTTAAAGGGGTTCAAATCATGCTGTTTGTATTTTGTGTTACGTTACAACGTATTGCAATAGTCTTGCTCCCTAATAACAAATACCTGCAGAGAGAATAGAAGGACTTCAGCTACATTCAGTTAATGGAAATTCCTTTTCAGATCAACTAAGCAGAAGTAGCACCTTTGATCCAAAGTTCAGTTCACAGCAGGGAAACATTTCTCACGGGTCAGTTGAGCTAACGGGCTCATTTATTGCTGCTACGTGGACGATGGCAGAGTGGCAGGAGGGAGCCAGTGTCATGGCAGAGAGGCCAGTAAGAAAAATTCTAAATCTGAATGCGATCAAACCATGAATGTATTAATCTAGAACAAACTTTGCTGTAGCTCGATAATGCATTTGCATACGTGCTTCCAGCTCAGTTTTATTAACACAAAGACGAAATAACTTACCTACTTCTATTTAGTTACCTGTACTTATTTTTTGAGAAGTATGTTACTAGAATGGGTAAAAGCTTGACCAAAAACTAAGAACAGAATGTTGAGTAGTTTAGTCAGCATGCCTCAAAGGAAACTGTTAATCAGTAGAAATTAAAGATATGCCACTTGTGAAGGTCTTACTATATTAATACAGTCTAGAAGCCCTGCTTCATCTAAATTTTTAAGGCACTTTGATTAGAAGAGGATCCTAAATTAACTTCAAATTTCTTTTTAATTGAGAAATTAAAATCAGGTCAGAGAAAGTACTAGATATTACACACACAATTTGAAATACTCCATATTTATGACATTTGTTCACCGCACTTCAGAAGCACTAAAAAGCTGAGAATCTTTTATTTTTGTAACGTAAATCAAAAATTGAGCTAATGCTTAACTTCTGAAGAAATGTGGACTTAAAGAAAGCTGCCACTGACAAGCTCAGTTTTAATATTTGCTAAGCTGCTTGGCTACATTCTCACAAAGCTGCTGAAAGAAAGAAGACTTGGTCCTTCAAAGTGAGATAAATATGAAGCTTGACATACGTTCACGTGTGGCATTGTTTTGAAGGGTAAATGGAAAGGGGGAGTGGAAGACAGAAAGCAAAGCTAGACTCTTCTAATTGAGGACAGTAGAACAGTCTTTTACTTTCCCTGTGAAAATCTGCCTAAATTCTGAAGCTGAGAGTGTAGCAGCTAGCAGGAGCCTGCACAGGGAAGAGCTCGATATGTGAATTATACACCAATTCACAAAGCACTGGACAAGATCCAGAGTCGCAACAATGCCAGGTGCTTTCAACCGTTTCTCATAATATCATACTGTTACTGGTTAACAGCAGGTCACAGAAGGGTGGGTTCTTGTCAAAAGCTGCTTTAACAGTGTTTGGCAGTAAAAAGGGCAAATGAACCATGGAAATGAGGCAGATCTGGGAGGAGTGAGTAATGCTACGTATGGTCCAGACAAAGTTATACACCAGCAAAATTTACCTGCCCTGCATGAGTGAAAAAACGTATTTAAAATGGTATTTGTTGGATAAGATCTGGAGTTACATGTGCAGTCAAAAAATATATAGTACTCACGTTAGAACAAATGAACAAAAATTCCACCACATGGCAAAAGGCTGGGGTAAGAACAAGAAGCCAAACTGAAGTCTTTACAAACACCCTGGGCACTTGATAAAACATACGAAATTTTTGAATGTTAACTGAGCAATTCTTTTGATTCATGTCAAAGACATGACTAAAAACCTGGAAGGGCTCATTGCAGTGTTCCTTCACTTTCCATGAGCAGTTTCTTGAAGCATATGACACAGTGGTTTATAAGAGAAAAACATCAATGCACAAAATTTAGAATTAAGCCAGGCAGAAAGAAAGCACAAAGTTCTGTGTTAAAAAAGCAACCCTTAACTACTCCAAACTGTATCCAGTTGGTTCTATGCCTACGTAATTATCTCTGCAAGATTAAGCTATCTAGTGGGTGAGAAACAGAACACAACCAACTCAGAAGGACTAATTTGACACCAACGGATAAACAAATTTTGTTAAAAAAGGACTTCTGAAGTTCTTGATGGAAGATGAAATAAAAGTTTAGCTAGGTGTACTTGACATCATAAGAGTATTTTTTGATGCTTAAAGAAACAGATTGAAATGAGTGTTCTGGACAGCGGTCAGGTAACTAAGTTGTGAAAATGCCAAATCAATTAGGATCATATAACCAAAATTGAATGAGAAGTCCGAGTTAACCCTGTTCGTTATTGGTGCACTACCTGAAATGAATTTGAAAGCACACTTTCTGGTGCTTCTTCCATGTCAACTGAAATGATGTTCCACTATTTGTGTCTTGCTCTGGAAAGACTTAACTTCTGAAAAGAAGGAACAGTTGTTTTTCTACTCCTCTTCATAATTTTTTTTGATGAAGAACCTCTAGCTTCTTCCGACATAAATGGAAACAAACTAGGTTTAAACATTTAAAAAGATATAAAGGTTTATTAAATGAATCCAGATTTGACAGATATTACATAAATTAAACAGCAATAAAATTTTAATAGGGTTTATGTACAGATCACAGTGATTTTCATTGTGCAATGAGGGCTGACTTTGTAACTTTGAACAGTACTTATACGTGAGCTACAACAAGCAACCAGCAACATACAACATTATTCCAAGTTAGCCTCGCAAGTCTAGCAGTTCAAACCTATTATGCAGTACACAAATGCCTGCTACCACTACCACTATTTACTACACAACAGAGTATTTATAAAGCAGTCAAGGTTTGCCATAGAAAAGTGCAAAACATGGAAAGTCTGTACACAGTACAGTACAAAAAGGAATCATGCTACAGTCATTGAAAGCTGAAAAAGAATTCTATAGCATAGGAAGCACTGCATCACAATTCTTCTGAATGGCAAGCAGATGGGCTGAGGAACAGCCGTATCTTAATTGCTTTCAAAACTGCAAAATCCCTGTTCATCCATTTAAACGTATTTTAGTACCTATATTTGATCCATTAACAATGACTTTCTACAGTGGAAGATCACATTAGTTAAAGCTCAGTAGCACACATATTCATTGATCAAGCTAATTTACAGGAAAATCTACAGCATGTTCTCCATTGAAATCATGAAGCATTTATATCATTTGGTTACAAGGCAATTGAGTTTGCAATGCATGTTTTATCACTTAAAACCTCAAATTGGGCAATTAAAAATATATATATATAAAACTCAAAAATAAAGGTTGTTTTTTAATGTTTAACATTCTTGTTCACCGAAGCAGAATACCAAAGGCCTATGAGCTCTTGGAAGAGAACAGTCCTTATGCAACAGTCTATACGCAAAACCACATGTTAACAGAAGCAACCAAAATAAAATGAACTTCAGAGAATACCATACTTGAATAGAAATTGAAAAAGTGTACTAATCTGCTTTAAAAAAACCCATAAATCCAGAGTCCTTAGTGCAGTGTATATCCGGGGACTTCTGCGTGAGCACTCAGACAGAACTAAATTAATGGGCCATGAAGTGCCAGCAAAGACTTAAAATAAACCAGACTCATTTGTGCAAATAAATAAAATGGGCAGGTAATAACAGCTCATTAAGTTCAAGACTGTAGAGAAAAATAACTGATCATTTAAAATAATGCTTCAAAAATGTTTTGGTTTTTGTTTTTTAGGTAAGGATTTTAATTTAAAAAAATTTGAAAGCATTTTTGTACTAGAAAGCATGTTGACGAGGTCAGTAGTTAGGCATATGTACACATGGCTCTGGGAACAACGTAAAGTCAATGGATTAGCATTATTAGTAAGACTGTATTAGTTTCTTTAGTCTCTATCATGAGTGTCAGTGCATCCACTGCCAGCAATGGATAAGATTGATAAAAAGAAAAGCCACCATCTCAAGCATGCTGTTCAAGCATTCAAAACTTGTAACCACCAATGTGGCACATTGGTCAAATGCAACTTAATTTCCTCAGCTTTGAAGACTTAAACACAGTGCAGTTTTTAAATTTGGAGAAAAAAAAAAAATTAGCACACTTGCTTGTTGCAGTATGTACATATTTAAGAAGAAGTTGGTTTTGTAGTACTCAGATTCCACAAAACACTGTAAGCTTACACATCAAAAAAAACCCTGGACTGTGCTTGCTCCCCTTAGACAAAGTAAGCTGTGTTTTATGTGCTTGAGTTTTTCTGATTGATTTGGAATAGCTAATTCCACAGATACAAATACAGTGGACCAGATTCATTTTTTCAAGAGGATAAGATATTTTTACCAAGTTAAAATGATCATTTTCCATGGATTTTCCTGTATTTCATTATACATTCCTACACAGCATTTACTGTGTGGCAGCTGGGGCCATCAACCTGTGGCATTTGCATAACAAATATGACTGTGATATTCCAGAATTACCACTTTGAAGTATCTTGATTTTGTTACATATTGGGCATTTTTTGCAAGGGTTATGCAATCTCTTAAAGTTAGACTTGCTTTATGAAGAAATAAATCTAATACCCTAGAAACTGTAAGTTCTCAACAGTGCTTCTGTACTGCTTAGAGCTAAACAAAGGAGGTCACTTTTCCATGAGGAGACTCCAGCTGCAGACCTGTCATAAAATTATAAACACGGTAATTTCATTAGTGATTACTAGAATGCCTAATTCATAAACATTCAGGATTTAGTTTAGCAAAATTAATCTTTGGCCTATATTTCTTACGGCATTTCAGATCAAAAAATATTTTTGGTATAAGTATCATAATTTCACCAAAAGTTATCTAAAACCACAACATCTGAAAGGATGTAATTACTTTTTGAAATCGAAGCACTTCAAAATCAATTCCCCTCTATTAACACAAGTATCACAACACGTAACATGAAAAAACCCTAAAAAAAACTTCCTGACCTGTATATAATCTACCTTCATGTTTTTGTATATTCATATACATAGATACATACATATGCACATACTTAAAATGAAGCAGTATTGCAAATACTTCCTAAATACAGTGTACTTAAGCTGCTAGAAAGATGTCAGTACGGGATGAAGGAAGAGACTCCTTACATCTAAGGTCTGAACTCTGTACATACAGAATTCCTGGCAGCAGGGACTTTAGGACATTTCCAAAAGCAGGAGCAGAAAAATCCACCTCTAATATATAACTCAGTCTTCCCTCTGATATGCTGAAGTGCCAAGCATTCAACAACAACTATTTCAATAATGAAAAATGTCTGTTATGGCTCATGCTTTACATTTGGAGAAGACAGCAAGCTTGAGAGAGAACAACTCCTCTAAGAGCCAGTTAGAGCCCTTTTATCAGTACGCACTGAATTGCAATTTTTACAGAGAGTCTTCATGTGAGGAATCTCATTTCAAACAGTGTATAACCACTCAATATTCTGGTTTGTAAAGAGACATCACTGTAACAGAACTTCATAAATTAGCCATTAAGATGCATCTTAATCAACGATAAGACATGCCCTTGTCTTTCTGCTTTCAAGTACTATGGTTGCAAGTGTGAGGCATTGGAAAATTTAGGTACAAATCTTTTTTAAAACTTAATTAATTTTATTTTTTACAAAGAATTATAAAATGTATATAAGATGATGAAAAACTCATTTATCCTTTTAAGATTTTTATTCCTAGAGAACTTTTTGAAAAACATTATTTGAAAAATAAAAATCATAGACTCTGCAAAGTACAAAAATTTACATCTTTGCACAGTTCCTGTGCTTTAGTTGTATTGTATTCATTATATACATATATACTAATTTGTGCTTTTAATTACACAAGTTTAGTATGAACTTATAAAATTAAGTCTATGAGTTATCTAGGCAAAAAGGATCTCGTAATAGCAGGAAACTTAACTAAAGCATAAGTTAAAAAAAAAATTCTAAAATATACCATTTTAGTGAGTCTACTTCAAAGCAGACTATCGATATTACAATTTACTAAACTAGTGTCAAATGTTTACAGCAAAAAATTATTCTTGCCTGCCTCCAACTCTTTAGATATTTATTATATACTAAATATGCATATCTGAATGCAGTATCACTCTTATCCACAAAGGAAGTCTTCATTTATGTATGAACTCCATTTTTCTTCAGAGTTGCTCTTAGCACTTCAATTTCCTTCCAGTTTCTAAGACAAAAAATAATGAAAAAGGAATACAAAATACAATGTGGAACATGTGAATTGAATGACAAGTATCAGACTATCACAGTTATGAGACAGAACCCAGGGTACAGAATTAATCTGATGGTCTTGTTCCTCTAAATTCTTCATTCTGAATATAAAAATATTGCAATCAAGAACAATCACATTGCCTTAGCTGTCAAATCAATCTAGATATCTGCTTTTAGCACACTATTTTAAAAGTTTTAAGGACAGAAGTACTTAAATGTCTGTAGGCTAATAACTATTCATCATTGCAGAACATCAAAGCCTGTAAGAGAAATTACCTTTGTCATTCCATAAGCCTGCTTTACACCATTTTATTTCAGCAGTTTACTTTATGCTATCTGTTACTGTGAGTCATGTTGGCCCTAAGAGCTGTAAGGAAGTATTAATCAGTTATGAATCAGAAAATATAATTTTTGCATATAGCTGTCATAGACCTACAACGTTCTGAAGAGGACTCGTAACATTTGGACATACCTTGCCCAGTGTAGATGTCACATTCAGAAGTTCTTGAAAATTTCTAGATCTTTAGGGGGTACCGGAGGCGTCTTGTTCCAGTCATCTTCAGGATAAGCTTCAAAATTGGAAGTATCCCCATCACTGGATACTTTTGGTACTATAGGAGGCTAGACAGAATGAGCACAATAAAAATGTTAGTACAGTTTCCTCAGAGAGCTCCTTTCCATCATATTAAAGCAGAAATTCTGTAAAAGATTGATTAAACAAAGGGGGTACAATATTTACAAGAGTTCATGCTTTTCACTCATAATGAATGGCATGAGAGAGAGAAGCTTGCAGTGACACAGACATATTCCAACGCTTTTTTTATATCACAGTTAAATATTGTGGTTAAAAGACATTTACAAAACAGACACCTATTTTATTTAGCACTGAAGTTCTAGCTGGTTTACAGACTGAAGGTAACTACTGCAAATTACTACAACTAAGCTTCCAGGAACGTGCTGTTACAGCATAATCTGCCACCCTCCTTCCTCACTCCGCCCCTCTTCTGTGGCTGATGAGCAAACAGGAGTGTAATCACATTAGGTTTCTTTCAACTAAGAAAGAGTCTTGATAGCAGTGTGGATAACTACTTTCTAAGTGAAGAAAAAAAACCTCATTTTCATTTATTTCAAATAGATTGATTGCTTTTAAGAAGGATGAATTGACTAACTTGTGTATGCCTCACACTACCTATTATGCTTATTCTTAGCCTAGCAATAAACTCAGGCAGGTAAAGAAACTGCTGCACTGTAAAAACTCATTTCACAAGGATGTCTGTAAAAGCATTTCAATTCAAATGGATCTTTTTAAGGAAACTTGGAGGTGTGAAGAGAAATAATTGTTTTCTATTTCTTTCCTTAGAGGATCCTTTGGTTTCTAGTATTGCCCACCAGCCTCACAGTACCTGTAGTTTTTCCTTGTCCTCTATCTAGCATGGAGGTTACTCTGCCATTTTGGCCACAGACTATGAGATAAAGCTCCTTTCTGGAGTATTTCATTAGTTGCAGAGGTTAACGTAGGGCAAAAAACCCCTTTTCTTCTGTCTAAGGACATTCATCTCTCTATACCCTTTTCAGGGGATAGAGAGATGTTGTTGTGAACAAAACACTTTCGGCTGAGAAAACCTTACAGATGATCACCTAACTGGCTAGCAAAAGTCATGCCACAGGCAGAACTATGAAGTACAGCAAAATGTTATTCTGCACGTCCTCAAAAAGATAAAAGTCTGGCTCCTGCTAGCTCTGCAATCTTATCTGAACTTTTAGGCCTCTCAGTTTGAAACACCACCATCAGCAGGTTTTCAATGGGAAAGAAAGGGGCCCTGAGGGATGGAACTTCTCAGCTTCAGCCAAAAGTCAAGTCCTACTTTTGCATTTGGCAGTCACAGTACACTGCCCAGATGCGTAAGGAAATGTGCAGAATCTGCTCTGCTCCAAAGGACTATCTGCTCCACTGTGGGCAATGCCTGGTACTCCCACCTCCCTGGAAGCTTTTTGGCAGGAAAACCAGTTCTGTGAAGTGACACACAAAAAGAGAAAAATAAAAAAAAATAAAAAAAAAAAAAAAAAAAAAAGAGAGAGAAAGGAAAATCCTCTATTTTAGATTAACAAGATTATTTTCTCTCTTTCAGACACTACTATTATTTATATTACACTGTTATGTAAGATCCTGTCAGGGCTATGAATCAATGCTTCATTTTTACAATAAGTCAATTCACACTTTTTACTGGGAAAATGGAGAAATGTATCCATTATTTTGTATTTTCAATCTCTTAATCAGTGTGAAATAAAAGATTGTTAAACTAATTCTGAAGAATATAGCTGCCTCTAGAAATAATGAAGTCAATTTCTGACCCAATTCACATCCTTTCTCTGAAGCACAATTAAGCAGCAGCTCATCTTCCAACAGCTTAATGTAACCATCACAAAGATTAAGAAACAAGTTTTGAATTCATAATAATCTGAATGCCAAGGTGACTCTTTTTTTTTTTTTTTTTTAAATGAAAATACAACACTAAGGATGTTTAGACCTGAGATTTTTGCTTTCTCTCTCTAACATCCAATTTTTAATACTATCTGGTTTATATTTATTTGGTAATACAGTAGTTTGTCATAAACTTCAGAGTTTAAATACTTAAAAAACATATTATCAACCAGTTGGTGTTCTTTGCAGATTTGCCTGACCAGAAGTTATAGTATGTAATTTGAAAAAAGTGACTTCATTACAATAGATCTACATAAAATATCAACTGGGTGTAGTAATCACTAAAAAAAAAAAAGCCCCTAACCCACACATTTAAAACAATGTTGTTTTGTTTTTTTTTTAAGAAAAAAAGTCACCTACAGCTTTGTATTAGGATGTTGTCTACAAGAATACATCAAGAACATTTTAATCTCATCTACTGTGCAAGAACTCAATCTAAGATAGATAGCCAGAAATTCATTGTAAGAAACTAATGCAAAGAAATGGAAACCAAACATTTAATTGGTACTTGACTGACTGCATATGGCAACCTATATTACTGAAAATCGCTGCTGTAAAAAAATGTACTAGTTCGAACTTTGAGGAAGGAAAGAAAGAAGGCAGTTTTACTTCCAAAGCACTTTAAAAACCATTTTGTAGCGTTGACAGCTTTTGCAAACATCTGCCCTCATATATTACTAGAATTCAGTGCTGTTAAAAAGTATATCAGAATTACATTCATAAATCCTTCTCTCTCACCTTCCCGATTCTTCCTACTCCCATATGCTTTACATTTTATTAAAGAATTTACCTGAATTGAACTTGGCTCAAACATTTAAACTGCAGAGTAAAATACTTCCACAGATACAAAGGCAAGGGGAAAAAAAAAACAACAAAAAAAAAAAAATCAAGCCACCAAACCACCAATCCCCCTTATCCACAAAAATCACCTACAATAAGTAGTTACTTAACAAACCCTAAAACTGAAAATTAAATATTGTATTAACTGATCAACTTCAGCAAAACAAAGCAGGATGTTTTTTTTAGACATTTTGAACATAGACAACAATGCAAGTAGGCATTCATATAATTAATTCTTCAGTGTAAAAGGGCAAAAATGCATGTAATTATTGATATGTGCATATACACTTGTACTTATACATGCATATGAACACACAGACACAACAGGCAACAAAACCTCAACAGATGAAACAGATGAGCAGAAATGAACAATTTCTTGTTGCAATGTCCTATACAGTATTTTGCAGAATGTACCTTTAGTCTCCTTTGAGGTACAGCATCCCAATCTATAGACCTGAACCATCGATGTCTCTTCACATCATCTGCTCCATTCTTTAAAGAAAAAAATCAAAATAAATATTTAGTAAGTTATATGTATGCCAAACCATGTATTTCATCGTAAGGACTGTGGTATGAAGGCAGAATAATGGTCCGTCTAACCTTGAGTTTTTTCTCAGGTGATAATAATTAAAAGATTCTACAGGATAAATCCATAGTTTTATTTCCCTAGCAGATCCTGAGTTACAGCAATAAGATCCAAATTTCTTTTTTTTTTTTTTTTTTTTTTCTTTTTAGCCACATTCTTCTGACACAAGAGAGATGAAGAATAGGCTTTAAAATACCCACAAAACCAGTCACTGAAGTTCTAGTCACTTCTGTTTTCTCCAACATCTTAGAGAATGACTCTTGTTCAGATATACTTCCTAATTCTCACACTAATAAAAAAAAATAACAGGGTTGATGGTGTCTTAAATAAAAATCATGGCTGGGAAGCACGCAGTTCTGTCAAATATTACAGACATTTAGTGTCGTCAAGAGGTTCTCAGTATTGTTACAAAAGTATATATAGAAAAAACATTTGTTTACATTTTAGATCTACAGTTAAAGGTGCATTTGTCTTGTAGTGATTATTCTCTCTGAGCTGATCTGCTCATGATCTGCTTTGATTATGTACATAAAGAGTGAAAATGTCTGGGTTTTTTTTGTTTTTTTGTTTTTTTTTTTTTTTTTCCACCTAGGTTGAAGCTTGGTTCAAACACAAACTCATCCTCAAGGCATTTAAGCAGTGGGAAAAACAGCTGTTTCTCTGTCTCAGGCCTGATCACAGAACAGTTTTAATGCACAGCACTCGAACTCATATCACATGCAGCTCCACAAAACGAAGCATACCACACTTTTTTTTTTTTTTTTTTTCAGATTTATATGGAGTGGGACTATGCATGCTCATAGCCACAGAGGCAACAAAGAGCAATTTATCACCTAACTCCCTCAAAAGCAGATCTCATTAAATGCTTCACCAGAAAATGCCCAATGGGATTTACATTTTTTTAAACCAACTATGATTATGGAAAAAGATCAGACTTAAGACTGACCTACTGCCCCAACCCAAATCCTGCTTCTAATTAGAAGTATTTTTAATTTTGACATTTTAGACAATTGTATGGAAAAACCCCCAAACAAACCAAAACAACCACATACTAAAAAACCCCACAAAAGTTAGCCAAACACATTTCCTAGAACCAATGTTTTAATAAACCAAAGTTTGCATTTGATTTTGTTTTCCTTCAAAACTGACAAAATATATAAAAAGTTTTCACTGGTCAATAGCTTTCTAAATTTGCAGTTTTATGAAAGTTTTGGTTTAATCCTCCTGCTGCCACCCTGCCCCCTGAAAAACACTGCAAAGCATTCTGAAGGGTATGGAAAACATTTATTTCCTAGCTTTTTTTACCAGTCTAAGTTTGTGCAGTGAAAGGCTCTGGAAAGGAACTTTGGAAAGCAAGTTCTAGCATCTAGACTTATATCAGTATGTTCAAGGAACTTGGACGACTGTGCATCTTTTACCTTCTTCACCTATATGCAAAAAAGCAAACCTCTAATCTCCCCTGCCCAGGGAAATGGAAATTTTATCTGACTCTAAAGAACTAAAAGATTACACAAGCTAATTTAGGTATCTGCAATGCTGTAACAACAACAACAACAACAAGTCAATGAATATAGGATTAATTTACTCTGCCAAAGGGTAAATTAAGCTACATTGAGTTTTGTGTGGTGCTTTGGCTAACCTGTTAAAGTACCTGAGTTAGTTCACATGCAGCTAACTTCTCCCTGCACTACCAACCATAGCTACAGCACAGCTGCAGGGTCAGATAAGCTTGTCATACAGCTGTCATCATCTTGGCATTACAAGTAGTACCACATCAAGACGTCTCATGGAATTCACAGGATTGCTTTGTCCTCCTCACCGACGTAACACAGGTATAGAGCTAATTCTGAGTGAGGCTGGAACGCTACCTGAGACACAAGTGTACTTTTGAATAATAAGCTATTGCTTTCAGAAGTCTGTTCAGAATCTGATGAATAATTCTTCTTGGTAGAAGACTGTTTAACTGTGCTTAACAGCCCCACCACCAAACTATCCGGGCAATAACCAAACATCATGGTACTACAACAACCCTTATATTCTTTAAAGTAATTTCTAAGATTCAAATTTGATTAGTGCTCCTTCTGGGATTAAACAACTCCAAAGAAAGAACCAAATCTGCTAGCGCCCTGTTCTACAGGACTTAGCGCCCTGTTTCTGGTCTGATGTAAGTCTTCAAATCAATCAGTCAACAGCTAGTTTGTTTGTTGTGCTTTTTTTTTTTTTTTTTTTCATTTTTTTTGTTTTGTTTTTGGTTTTTTTTTTTTGGTTGGTTGGTTATTCTTTTTTTCTTTTTTTGTTTGTTTGCTTGTTTGTTTTTTGGGGGTAGGGTGGGGTGGCGGTGGTGAGGAGAGAGGGAAACTAATGCTATCCTTCATGATAATCCAGTCAAACAGGAGAATGATTTCCAGAAATACACAGTTAAACTCTGCATTTAGGACTGTATAACCTAAGTAATATATGGGAAAAATATACCTCTTTCATGCTTGTAAAAACAAAAGCCACAAAAGAGCTTTCCTACGTATTTCCTACAGAATTCTTTCAACCTTGTGCTATGTTCTGCATTACGCCTAACATTTTATACTGACCTTCATATTTCCTAATCGTCTTGTCCTGTCAACCACAAGCAGCTTCTTAATAAGGTCTCTGTAGTAAAGGAAACACGTTCTCTGTTAAACAGAAGTAATTTATATTTGACTGTCATACAAATTTTACAGAATATGAGCATATTTCCCTTTGACTAGCTAATACGGTATATAATTTGACCATTTATTTCCTTCATATTTTAGGACGCTTAAGAGTGAATGATAAAAAGGAATAACCTACTCGAAAAGGAACTTGCAAGAAACAAAGGAGAAGAACTTCCGCCCTCTCTCTTCCCCTGCCCCACCAAGCAGTGTCATAATATTCTCTGCATTTTTGTATTTTATTGGGCATTCCAAATCTCGAAATGGATCTCAACCCTATTTGGCAGAGCACTAATATATACAAAAATACAGAAAAAGCCACACCCCCAACTTTATACATTGACATTGAAATTCTGTGGCAGGTAAATACTCAAAAAAACTGTGGAAGTGCTCTAGTCATCTGCTTAAAACTAGTAACACCTATGAGCTTTAATTTAATTGAAAATGAAAAGCCTCCTCTGACATTCTAGTTTATTCAACGGTTCTACATAAATCTAAGTCAACATTTTAAAAGATGAACCTAAGTTCAGACACATAAAGGACTTCCATTTTAATAACAAAGTACTTTAAATATTAAGCACCAAAAACCTAACATAAATCAAAGTAAGTATCACAATTCATTGAGTCAGCTTTATTACTTATCAGTTGAGAGAAAAATCTGGCTTCACATTTCTATAAGCAGTTACTTTTTATCTCAATGATTATTTTGCTATTTACTTTTAGAATAGCAGCATTCTGGTCTCATTGCATAAAGTACCAATGACAAGAAAGAACAAAAGTTTAGCCATCCTTCTTTCTTCTACAGCTTCAAATAGGCCTGAGAGATGCAATGTTGCATGAAATGCAGGGGATCTACAGAGTATGGCTAATACCAATTTTAAACTTTGCAGAAGGTTTAAAAAAAACACAACAGCTTTATTTACAGAAAAGAATGCAAACATATTAATGACACACCTGCCTCTTTCCACCCTTAACTGTAATACCTACTATCCTTGAAATCACAAAAGCGTATGCCCAAAGAATATGTGAACTGAGTGAATGTGCTAGACTGTTTGAAAAGCTGTTGTATTTGGCAGGAATATAGTTCTAAAATTCAACTGGAAAAATATTCTATTACCAGATAAAAAGAGAATAAAAGTCAAGGTAGAAAGCAATTTTTAAAACTCTCATGATCATTCCAGCCAATCAAAGTTTGGATTAGATTAAGTCATGTGACTGACACCTTTTACAGTCACCTTCGCAGAAATACCTGCTTCTAGTTCTTCGTGGAAAAGACTATTTCTTACAGAGAAGGCTACAAGAATGGTTATAACCACAGATTAAAGCAGAAGTAGGACTGAAAAGAAATCCAGAAGCCCAGAAATAGCTTCACAGGCTGTACGGCTAAAGAAAAATCATGGAGTTTCCTATTCTTATATAACCAGAAAACATTCAATGGATCATTCTTGGCTTGCTTCAAAAATTTATCTTAGACAAGAACCGTTAAGGGATAAATTTGCTCAGTGATACTGTGTTGTCACTACAGATGAAGCCAGTTGCTGCATTCAGTAGAACAAATATCCATTAAATTTGAACAATTAATAGACAGATTAGTGCTTATTTATTACACAGTTTCTAAAGAATAATTTAGAAATGATCATGTTAAAGTCAATCCAACAGATATGTTTCTGTATGTATTTAGGGAATTAAATTATACATCAAGGTCATTCCAGACCAACAATCATTAAACTGCTGTAGTACTGGTGTATTTTTGGTATTTTCCAAAACTGTCTTTGCAAAAAAAAAAAAAGCTTACAAAAATGAAGAAAAAAAAAAAAAAGAAAAATATAAAGAAATAACTTATGAACTCATCAGTGGCCAAAGAAATAGGTAGAGCATAATTAATACTTAGATTTTATCGTAAGTGACGTAACACAAAACTCTGCTGACAGTCTTATTTTGGAATTTCCAGTTGGTTAATTTATCATCATCATCATGGCAGAAGCTGCTGTTGAGAAGAGATATGAACTAATGGTCAGATGTGTCAAGGACTTCATGTGTACAGCACAAAGGACGTGGAGAAAGCATCTGACCAAATTGCAAGGTGGCTAAAAAAAGTGACACAGTAGAGAGCAATACGAAGAGATTCTAGCTCAGGCCAGAAGTTACACAGCACAGCAAGAGGCAGTGAACATCATGAAGCAGGGGGGAAAGCAAAAGCGGTACAAATTCAAAAGGTAGAAAGTGTGAGAGGGTAACAGAGGGCAGGCAGGTAGAAAAATGTCAGCCAGTAAGTTTATGTAGTACATCTAGGTAGAAAAGTTTTCTCAGAAAGGAAAATAGTTTTGCTGCCTCAAAGCAGAGTTACAGTTCAGTTGTTATAAACACTGTATAGCACTAATACTTCAGACATAGCCTGGATGTGACAGGACCCAAGACAGTCTTCATCCTTGGTGAGGTACAGACTGATAGGAAGAAGAGAGAGAAAGCAAATGGGATACAAGTAAGGTACGAAGCAGACTGTCTGTTTGTTAGGACAAAATAATCTTGGCACTTGCTTTAAGCTAATGGTGCAGAGATGTCAAAGACTATCTAGTTCTGCATATCGTGGTTTAAAAAAAGGAAGAGGGGTTGACAGAACAAGTGAGATACGTTATGCTAACAACTCACTTCAGAAAGCAGGTGCCACGCAAATGAATGAGATCACCCAAAACCAAGGTGTGAAAGCAAGAAAGCCCAAGCTAGAATCCCATGAGATCCCTTAAAGGCATGAATGTAATGGGAATGAACTACCAAGCACACACTGGAAGAACATCTGGATAAGAAAAGCTGGGAGAGAGGTATATCAACAACTACGCTGATTAATGTATGCTACAATTCATGGGCAGTCATGCCTACATTAAAGAGCAAAACCTGCATATGCATGCTTACTACCAAAACTAGGAAACTTCACAGCATCAGGCATCTTCTGGATAGTAGAAATCAGTGTTGGTCTGTGAAAGTCGAGCACAAACTGAAGGTAACAGCATCTCTACTTCTAAATGCTTTCACCGTGTTAGACAAATTGCTAGTGCTAATAACCTAATTTGAGCTGTTCACCTTCTGGTCACACTCTTATACTTTAGTGCACACAATATTATGTGAGATACTCAGTTTTCTTCCTAAGACAGCCTGGGTTAGGAAGATCAGACAATGAGACTACACTAAATTGGAAACAGCATTGTGATAGTAAGGGAACCCTGTTAAGAACAGACACAAATATAAGATACTAATCAGCCTAAGGTGATGTAGACATGTTTGATTCAGAGCACCTGATGATTCAATGGAGGCTTAAAAAAAATCCTCCCCAATTATTTTTGTAATAGAATTCATAAAAGTTCAGAGAAAGTTGGACATATTTCATTAGATTTGTCATACAATATTTTATCTATTTACCTAGTGGTGACAGTAAGCAAGTGCCATCTCTAAGCTTGGGTCTGCAAAACACCTTCAACGATTTAACCCGGGAATGTAAGATTAACTTCCTGTCCTTGCCCACTCAATCATCTCTGCTTCTGAGGAGAAACATAATGCTTAAAATTTAATCTCCTCTGTTCTAATGTTTACTAACAGTTATTTCGATTTTAAAAATTTAAATAGGAATTTTTAAATAGGGAAAAAAGCATTTCATCTGCAATATACCTGTAATGATTGCAAAATACTATGAATAAAACCCACACATGCATATATAAGACTGCATATTGAACTGGGGCCCTACTATGAGAAGTGGAAGTCAATTTTACATTGGAACTTCTGAAGTATCAGAGAGGTCATTCAAGCAGTTACGTTGTGAGTAATTTACTGGTATGTAGGCATACAAAGGAATAGTTCGGTGTTCACTTCCTGCTCTCCAAATTTTTACTCATATTAAATTATCTCCTCACGTTTCTCCTCTTTTCTTTCTTCCAGGCACCAACCTGTTACCAGTAAGCTTTGTGCAAGGTGGAAAAGCATTTAATATTCCAAAACATGCAGAAAAGTAAGACAGGCAGATATTATCATACAACCATATCTCCAGCTTGGAGTCTAGCAAACATAATTTTACTTGGACTGCAAGAGTAAACGTAATATAAAATATTTTCCAACGTGGTGTTTTAGAAAACCAGAATCTGCTATCTGGTCTTCTATGAAGACCCTTTAGAAACAGTGCTCAGTAGGTGGTTAGAATATGAAAGACAGTGTTGGGAGTCATGGACTTACTTTACATACAAATCCAAATGCCTCGGGAAATCTATTTTGCCAGCAAGAATCTTCTGATATATACCAAATGGATTGTCATCAAAAAATGGAGGAAACCTATTTTAATACATCAAATTTTTAGAGGTTAGAAAATGAATTTCTAAAAATCTTATAAACAAGTATTATGTTATAGTAATTCCCTTCAGAAATCATTGATTACATTATTTTTTTTTGGTAGGGCATCAGGAAACAAATACTAACTTGAAGAGCAACTTAAGTGAAGGCTGCTACTGCAAAACAGAAAACATTTTTATATGGAACACAATGAATTAAATTAATACAGTAAAAATATAAATTAGGAAACAAATTTTCACTGTTAAAGCAAAAATTTCTTTGCCTTTATCTATAAAACCCAAGGGTATACTTTCCAAAACAGTATTACCGTTTTTGATCTTGTTCTGTAGCTACAGGCATACCCTTATTTACTAGTTTCTATCTGAAGTGTCAAAGGACCCTAATATGAATAGATTGTCCGGTTCTGTTATTTATTGTACTTCTTAAATTCAAGTATATGTTTTGTTAAGAGAAGGTTTGAAAGAGACAGACTGTTCAGAAGATGAAATTCTCTCAAAGTGCAGCTGTCTTCCTGTGTCAGACAGATAAAGTACTTATTTCATAATCTTCCCCAGATGATCAGTAAATCAAGATGCAATTAAAATTCTAGACTTAGTATTTTCTATAAAGTTCCTTCATGAAGTTATGAGCTAACAGAGAGACTACTTCTTGTGCTACAGCTACAGTAAGAGTGAAGCTTTCTGGTGGGCTTCCTTTACTAGTATAATACATACCCTGATTACTGCAAGAGGCTCAGAGTATGGGTGCATCAGGAGAATCGGTATAAGTGGCTTAGCCCAAGAGACAACAGGTTTTCAGAGCGGCAGTCACCTTTTTAGAAGTTACCACAGGAACACTTTTAGGGGAATGGAATAACTAACTACTCAGTCACTAGTCTCAATCCCACCTTAACTTCCGTAACATGACCAAAGCATCCCTCTTGCTATGTTTCTGTCTCAAACCCCCTACAGAATAGAAGGAATATCAATCATTATTAATAATGTCCAACCACTATTACAATCTAGTGTTTAAAATATTTTCCTATCTCCCTAACATTTTATGATTACTTTCTACAAGAACTTAGCATTCATACACAGACAAATACAGTGCTGGTGGCTTTGGAAATCATTGGTGGCATAAACAAAGGGTGAAAACAATGTTTCTTCATTTCACATTCTTTCCTGAATTTTATGCTACTCAAACTAGCTTATTTCTCAACAAGTACTATACATTATTGCCCCTGTGTAAGTGTTTTCAGAAGTACTAATTTCTTCATTATTCAGCTGATGGTCAAGTGGATTATTATTTATTTTGAAATACTGTAAAATTCAGCCACAGACAATACCAAATTCCATCATAATAGTTAAATAAAGCTGTCTTTATGTGTAAGGTAAAAAAAAGTAATACTTCAAAGCACAGAAAGCATGGCAAAATTATCTGGTTAAGGAAAGACTGAAGAACATTTGAGACTGAATAGTCTCAGCTGGAAGGAAACAAAAATACAGGACTCTCAGTAAAAATATATGTATTTTTATAAATTCCTGCTTTGACACTAAAGAACAACGAAAACATGATAGATATTTAACAAGAATAAAATTTTTCCACACCGGAGACTACCATATAAAGTTTCTTTTTCAGTCAAGGCAACATTACATTCTTCACATTCTCCAAAACAAGTTGACAGACAGTACACTCAATTTCCAATTTTGTATTTGTTATTACTTATTAGCATCTTTAAATGCATAAAGCAATTAGCTTTTATTAGCTAAATACAACCATATATTAAAAAGGTGCCTGCTGCAGTGAGCAGATTGATATGAAATGCAGGAGTTTTCTTCCCCTCTATCTCCAAACAATCTGTACACTGCTGAGGTGTGAAATCAAGAAGAATAAGTATGTATAAGCTTTTACATATTTATGTATGTTTAAATTCCTCTTTGCTTTCCCACTTTGAAAATCTGAAATTACCTTGTCTAGAATTCTTGAGAGAAATTTAAATTACACTGGGATATATAATCATTTAATGACAATACTGCCCCAAGTGCTTTTGAACTGTATGCAAAATGAAAATAGGTTCGAAAGATTAATTTTCTTAAGGACAAACCAAATAACTTAAATTTGATACTATGTAAATGTCCGTCTTCAACACAGCACAGATTTAAGACAAAACAACGCAACTATTGTGCTGGAAGCTACTTAATAAATCAACAAAATTCCCCTTGAGTTTCAGACTGTTTTCACACCACAACACAAATACAACCAGCTGCCTTTTTTCCACCAACTGAAAAGAAGCTAAAAAAAAAAAAAAAAAAAAAAAAAAAAAAAAATCTCTCTGTTTATGGGACAACAGCTGCAAACCATTCCTTTTACCAGCTGATGCATAACAATGGCACTGACACTGGTCTCAAAGGTAGCAGATAGTTTTATCACAGGAGAAGAGAAGCTGTAAAACCTCAAGGGAAAACACACAGGTCTGAGAATATATGAAACCGTAGACAGGAACCATTAGCAACCTAAAATGACAGATGAGCACATCACATATGATCACCAAAGCAAAAACAAGAAACACAAAGCCCTCATTAAATGAGAAAATTCTGTTAGCTACACATCTGATGACAGTACAATTATGACATAACAGATCTAACATTAAGTAACAAGTATGTTTTCCTCTATAGCAGATTGTATGTAGCAGAACACATTTATTCAAAATAAATAGCACTTTCAACTCTTTCTATTGACAGTTTGTTTAGCTTGTTTAGATTAACCCTATGAATTCAATATTACTAATCTGTTCTGTAAAGATTTCTTCTCACCCCTGGTTCTCCCTGTTCTTTTCCCTTCCTATATTTTACTATCTTAAACCTAAATGGGGCCTTGCCTTAAATCTAATGTGCAGAACTAGAATTCCACTGGCCTCTAGAGATTAAACTAGAGAAATAAGACACTGCAGACAGGAAAGTGTGGTTTTGTTTGTTTGTTTTTAAAGAGACCATTTCCTTATGCACACATCTCACAATTCCTTCCAATTGCTTTTGGGGTTCAGAGAGAGTAACTTCAGGAAATAACTACCAAATGTTTTTAGTAATTTACTTGCAGACAATAACTTAGTCTTAAAGTCAGGTTTTGTTCACCTTCAAATAATTTTCGTATTTCTTAAATCTTCTTTGAACTTCAAGGGATATAGTTACCTAGGACTGTTTTTGCATTAAAAATTTGATAGTAAATATCAAGCCACATCTCGAGTTGGTGAGGAAAAGCATTTTAGAACACTGCTTTCAGCAACAACTAAAATCTGAGAAAATGCTAAAAGCGTATGCCCTGTGTGACAGTGAGACGACCTGCCCTCCTAAAGAAAGCACACACAAGCCACAATCCTTGTCCCCTTTTGACGCCCAAACCCCAGAATCTGAAAAATCCTAAACAAGTAGTAGCAATCTACAACATCTCCCCCTTCTCCCCTCCCCAAAAAAACCTAAATCCAAACCAAACCTCCAAACAAACAAACAAAAAAAACCCAAACAAACTCTAGTGCAGTCCCTATCCCAGCTCTGGATAGGGACTCCATCCCAACACTGAAAAATAAAAAGAAGCATCCAGTCATTAGGAGGCTCATGTCTACACAAATACTGCAAATACTGTAGTAAAAACAGTTACAAAAATCACTTGCAGCAGTCAGCTGCTCTGTCAATCAGTCCATATAAGATCTCAGTTGCCTTTTAGAAATGTGTAATTTATATCTGTTGGTTAAGAATCTCTATAGCCGAAGTGTTTATATTAAGCTTGGGGGAATCCAGATCTCATCACTTGAGCCAGATAGTGTCAGGACACAAAAGATCCTATATAGAAATGATTACAGCTGCTTCTTTTTTTTTTTTTTTTTTAATGAAGAATATATACCAGTCATACTTCAGTGCCCTGCAGTCTTGAGGTCTCAGTGTCTCCAGAGATAAGATCTCGATTGGCTATCACCTGCAGTCAGTATGTTAACTTTGGAAACCATGTTTCTATGACTACTCTAGTAGAAAGAACCATATCAACATCTCTGCAAGGCGCAGAAAGGAAAAATGCCCAATATCCACTTATGCCGAGACCACACAGACCAGAGAAGGGTCCCACTGAAACTCATGGCAGGAAGGTAAATCACTCAGACTGCAGCTGGGAGACTGCAGCACCTGTGCTCATGTTACAGCACCAGACACTTTTATCTACAGTCTTCATGCTGTCTAGGACTAAGATTAGTGGCAACAAGGCTGCTGGGACTCTCTCTTTCCTTTGATCCCTCAGAGAAGACTTTTCTTGAGCAACTTGGGCTGCTCACCATTACAGGGAGTGGTAAAAGAAAGGTAAAGCCTGGCCGCTGCACAGATCAGCCTATATAAATAATGATGTTTTATCAGACCAGTCAGCCAAGCCTGCCTGTGTCAGTAGGGAACTATTAGTCCATTTTTAATACTTTTTCTGTCCAAAAATTGCCTTGAGATTCAAAGTAACTGCATATGCAAACCTTCAGGACATTAGGAAAGCAAGCAGTGGGCAGCAATGCTGTCCTGGGATAAAGTTTTGATGCTGTTGGATGCCCTTCTCAGCAAACGCACGCGGTAGACCGGCGCTCTGAAGTGATCATCCATCAGGAGACCCGTCTGCTCGGGCAATCTGACAGAGCTGTCCGAACAGCGGAGGAGTCCTCAAAGTTACCCTGAACTGACAGCAGTGTATAGAGAAAAGGAAGAACAAATCAATGCAAGGATGTTTTTGTTCTGACCACTTTAGGGGGCTGCAGATCCAGAATGAAAGGCCACAGAGGTGACCTGACACACACTCAGGGAGCAAGAAGGCACAAAACACGCCAGGCCTGGCACTAAAAAGAAGTTCTAGCAACCATGAAACCAAAACTGATCAAATTTCTTCTGAAGTTATGAAAGCCTTGCTTTCACCTACATTTGTTCTACTGCACCAACCATGGCAAGACCAATTTCTTTCAAAATTTCCACTTTTTTCTTTTTTTTTTTTTTTGCAAGTATCTTCAAAAGATACAGTCAAGAAAAAAAAAATATGGAAAAACATGCAGCTGCCTTGTTCAGTACACAAGCATAATGTCATGTTCTCCATAAACCAGTTATTAATTTTACTGAAAACAATATTTCTTTTCTGAAATCAGCGCAAACGAAAACAATTACTTTTATATACCTAATACCTGAAGTCAGAAACAGTTGATTTTATTAATGACAGAAAGTCTGCAATTTGAATTTATATCTTTTGGAAACATTGCTTATCAAGCAAATTTCAAAACATCAAAAGTAGCATTTGAGCAAACTGATTTCCAAACAGACCTTTTAAGCTTTTCCCTGTTCTTTTTACTTTGGTTTAAAGAAAACCAGTGCTCAGTAATAATACAAGCCATACTAATAAAAGTCTTCCTACTTGCCACTATGCTCCCACTGCAAATAATATTTCACGATGCTATAAATTAATGATAGAAATTTCAAAGAAAACTGGTAGTCCTCTTCCTCACCCTTTAAATAGAAGGGATTTTATGTATAAAAATCTAAGCTTCAACAAAACTTGAATTTCCAAAACAGGTAAGTAAAAAAGCAGCTGTTAAAGCTAAGAAACCCCCAAACAAAACCAACAAAAACAAAAGAACTAAAAAGTTCCCATAACAACAATTATAGATGTTCTTTTGTACAGCTTCCCAATTCGTTTCTTTACAGGCAGAAATGAAACTGGTATATCAATAATAAATTTAGCCCTTAATCGCTATTCTGAACATCATAAACAAAACTGGTAAAGAATCCTGCATCACTGTATTACATAATATTGCTGTGATATAGTAATCATTATCACTTACCCTGACAACATCTCAAATATAAGAATTCCTAGGGCCCACCAATCCACAGCTCTTCCATGGCCTTTGCTTTGTATAACTTCTGGGGCAAGGTACTCAGGAGTGCCACAGAGCGTCCATGTCCTGGGAGGAAAAGAAGGAAAATAACCCCAGAAAACAAACAACAAAACCAGACTGAAGTGAAACTGAAATAATAGTAATAGAAAAAACCCCAAACACACACATAGGAAGTACTCAACATAGGTATTTACAGTATACATGAACAAGAGCAAAAAGGAAGATCTCTACAAGGTCTAAAAAGACTGTTTTGATGATCCTCTCTAATTCTTCTGTGACAGAGACAATATGGAAATTAAGAAGCTTCTTGGCTACAGGGAGTATCTGTGCTCTGAGTTTCCTAACTGCTGGTATAGTACTATATCCATTAGGTTATATGTTGCTTTGAAATTATTAACAGTGGCTTTCACCCTGTAAACTGCAGACCCTGGGATTTCACAGACTACTCTGACAGGCCCAGCAAAACGCAAGCTTACTGGCCTTTTCGAGCAAAAGCAAAAAATTCTGTTTAGAAAAAACAAAGGGAAGAGAGGGAGATAAAAAAAGTAGTAGTGTAAATCACTAAATATCTGCAGATATAAGCAAGTCCTTTTACAATCTAAGTAATGTTTTTCAAACAGTACTGAAAAGTAACCTGTCATCACTTCCACAATATCCATTAAAAGGAAAACATTTAAAATTTCTAATTATTTAAAATATTTACAAGGTGTAGTTAAGCAAGTGTGAGACATGTAAGCAATACTATTTTTGATAGATTTTAATGCCATTTTTAGTGATAGCTTTCTTAATATAAGCTCAGGATATAAAACTGTTATATTGCTACCTAACTGAAATCTGTATTTCAAGTTCTATAAATCCATGAAATAAACTGAAGCTAAGCAGTTAGTGTTTACAAAGACCAAATTAAAATTTGAAATGAAGAATATTCTGGAATGATTTCTTTCAGAAATGTGAACTCTTCTGTGTAAAACTACCCATGTAGAATTTGCCTGGCTTCACTACTTTGACTTACGTTTAAATATGTGAGAGAAAAAAAAAAAAAAAAGTTCTTTCATTCTGAATAAATTACACTTCCCTGGTAACAAGTCAGAAGATGAAACTTTGAAAAAGTGCTTACTAATTCAAGAGTGGATGAAATAACAGCACAGAATAAGAAAGAAAAACGGGTATTACATTTTAAGAAGAGTTCTAGTAAAATATGACACAGAATATAGTCACAAAATTAATGGTCACTGCACATGATTTCTAACTTACAGTAAAAAACCCTCCAATTGGTTTATTTATGAGTGCAGGAAGAACCTTCTCCAATCAAACTGGTAACATGGTCCTGAACAAATGCATTAAGATGAGCAGCAATCACCTTCAGAAGTAATACATGCTCATTTCAACTTCTGGTTTTGTCCTACTACTGTTCTGCTAAACTTAACAAAACCTTCTTCCGAACCATAAATTGATATTCAAGATGCACCTTATGAAATCTCAGACTATCAACATTTATTTATTTTTTTTAAAGATTAAATAATACATTTTTCTAAGACTGCAGAATTGTTTTAAACAGAGCTTTTGGGTGTTTTTTTCTTGATTCCCTTTTGTTTGGTTGAGGTATTTTATGCCTTAGCCTCAATTCATAAAAATACTGAAGATCAAGGAAGACAAGCTGTAGAGTCAGTCAAGACTTTAAATGAAGATTTACGATGTGTAGAGTTGAATTCTTTAAGCTTGATTTTAATATGGCAAAAACTAAATTACTCCAGCTAAACTGTCAGAATCCATTAGATATCCTCCATGGTTCTTGAAACTACATTCATTAGTGTAAAGAATACATTTTTAATTTTTATCGCAAAAGGGTGGCATCATTTTTATTGCTGGAAAATACAAACTAATTTCCCAAATCAAGTATACTCAAAAGTCTGACATACACCACTGCTTTACACACTACTGCCATCTAGCAGTTCAAGACTAGGTAATTGAGAGAAGCAGCAAAGCTTTCTTGTCTTACAAAACAAAATAGTCCTCCCTCCCCCAAATTAAAAAAGCTGTATTATGATCCATCGCATTAATTTTTATTCATACTGATTCAGCTAGCTCTGCAAATGAAGCAGCTGCCAGTTTTACTGTATTAGGGGACAAGGGCTGTACAAATAAAGCAGACAGGGCAGGCACATTCATTTTAATGGAGAAGCTAGAGAGTTAGCAGGACAAGGACCAAAAGTGGTCATCCTTTCCTCCCCCAAAACTACCAACAGTATGAATGCACAAATTCAGCAAAGATGCAGTCTTTGGTGGTCTTCATCCCTTCTCAAGGTCATTTACATAAAAAACAAAACAAAACAAACAAACAAAAAACCCCAAAAAGAAAAAAACAAACCAAAACAAAACAAAACCCCAAATCAGTCTAACATTTGACCATCACTTCCAGAACCTACAAATTTGCAGGTGACAATGTAACTAAAATGACCCTCAATTACCATACAGGTTAATAACAAGATCTTTTTTATTAAAAAAAAAGGAAAACCACAAATTAAGGCAAGACCAATATAACTTGAAGTCTCCTAGCTGCATTAGGAAATAAAATTTATTACCACCAGCAGATCATCTACTTCTCTTAATTTCAGTCAAGAAATTTATATTTACTAACTACACAAAAACGTGGAGGAAGCTCAAATTTTTTGTCAAGCTGTGCATTTGTGCCATAAGATCATGACTTGTATTTCCTCTTTTGTTGGTCATGAAACAGACTGTTTCATATTTTGGAAAATACATCAAGTAAATTCTAGAAAAAGGTCAAATCGTCTTAAGTATTTTATTTTATTTTTTATCATTACTATTTCATGACTGTTGCATAGTCATCTGAAAATCCAGATCATCCTTTTGAAGATAAATTATATAGCAGACAAATAAGAACAGACTGTTTCCTTCAAACTGCTACAAAAATTCTACTGCTCTGGGTTTTCAAGATAAAAGCTGAAATACAGGCAAGCAATAGTTGATAAATTTGAACATGTAATTTTAAAACATGAAAATAAAACAAAGAATCTACTCTGGTCACAGAGAAAAACTATAAGATAATATTTGCAGATCTTCTTAATGGTATTATTTGAAGAAGTCAAGAAGTCAAGTCCCAATGGTTAACGTATTTTAGAGTTCTACACCATTCAGCATCCACCTCTGTAGTCCCTGACAGGCATATAAACCAGAGATTAACAACAATGTCCTTTTTGGTATTCTCTTCTGGAAGTTTCTCCATAATTATATTCAATGGAGATTGCTTTGTTTCCAGCCCACAAAAGTTTGCTCTGCAAAACATTCTTGCTTCTACAATGACAAACAATACATTTTGCAAACAAGACTTGCTGTGTCTTGTCTTGTTTCTTCCCTTCAATCCACTCTGCAGAACAGTCATGAGGCACATCCAGCTTAAGCAACAGTAGAGAAGTATCCCCAATCTCTTTAAGGTCAATCACTTCTCAAGTTTCTATGAAGACTTTCATAGTTCAATTTTTTTTTTTTTTTTTTTTGTAATGTAAACTGAACAAACTAAAATGAACAGTGAATAACACTCCTCAAAAAAAATTAGTAATCTTAGAAGTCCTAACTTTACCTCAAACTTTCATAACATTCTGAGTGAAATCTGTGCATAAAAAAAAATAAAAATTCTATGAACTGTACTTCTGTGCTTCTCTGAAAGAACACAGGAATTAAAAAAATAATAAAAACACCCCACCAAACCAAAAAACAACAAAAGAAGTTTCTCATAAAAGTGAGAAAGACCGGAAACATGTTTAATGCATATATTACAGCCAAAAAGTGTTATATGTTTTCCAGAAAAAGCAAGATCTAAAAATGTAATGAAGTTCAAAACAAAGCTTTTCTACATCCTTCAGCTAAAAATTGTTTATAAATATGCCCTCCCTATCTTTTTTCTTGACATTGCCCTTTTTCTAAAGTAGTGGCACATCTATTTTATGTGAATGTACTTACAAGAAACTGAAAAGGTTATTAAGTCTTCAGTTAAGCAACACCAAGGTGGAAAAGAGAAGAAATAAACAGCAGCTGAGGAAGAGACACACTGTTTTGGAGAAAAATTTAGAATTTTTTAAAAGTACACTATGACTGAAAAGGGAGGAACAAGGACAAACAGAAGGACATATCAACAAGGAACAGAAGGAGAGAAGAAAACCTCCTCTCCTTCCTCTTTCCCTAGGAAAAAATATTAGAGTCTAGCCCTTCAGAAAATGTAGTAATAAGTAGGTAAATAGGCAGGCTGCTTCCTACAGTGGGAACACAGGCTACTAGCCAGCCACTCTCTCTAAAGAGCAGCTTAATTGTAGATGGACATGGTGAACACTTCACTTTTTCGCACATGGCAGTGGCAAGAAAGAAAAACGTGTACACAAAAATCTCAATTAAGCAACTACAGAATCATTCATAGGAAGTATTACGCATCAAGAATGTGTAATTGTTTTGGAGGTCTTCTGCAGACCATGTTTTATTTTACACATCATGTCCTCTCTTCTCTAGGAATACATTTTTTGTTTGTAAATGACAGGCTTCCTCACAGCTGTTTGAAAAACATATATACTTTGTGTTTTATTTTTCCAATTCATATACACTATATATATGTATGCACATACTCACATACATACACATAAGGTTCATCTGTACAGACATTTGCCATGAATAAAAATGACAAACAAATGGCAAACATCTCCTATACTTGTGATCAAATAATCTATGAAACAAAATAACCTACAAGGGTACATTAGTAGGTAACTTGCTGACAACTGTGTATTTTTAGTGACAAAAATAGTGTTGTGAAAACTACTACTGCTAGTGAGGATAAAACTGTGTAGTTTAAAAAAAAAAAAAAAAACCAAACAAAACAAACCCCAGAAAAAATCCTAACCACCCCAACACAAAAGAAACAACAAAACCAGATCTACATAGGTAACTACCTGTGCTCTAACTGATAAAGTCCTTACTCCTTCCAACTTTATCTTCTGTATTTATATTACCTGTTGTACATTTACAGGTAAATTAGCTACGAATATAAAACTACTATAGCATTCTATGCTTCAATTCAACACGAACTGATCAACTTCACTGCCCCTCCCAACAGTATGGGATACAAAAGAGCAATTAAAAGTTGTAGTGATAAATTGTTTTGATGTTCTAAAATGTATCTGAACAAATTTAATCTTATAGATCCATCTTCCAGATTGAAAAATATACTTTGATGTGAATTATAACCTTATTTAATGAAGGGTTACTCCTGTTGTGCCTTAAACCCACAGAAATCCAAATTAAGAATAACCACTAAGTGGCAGTATCTACAAGTAAAAAGGAAGTCTTAAGAAACTGTAGGAAAATGTCTTATAAAGAGAATATCCTACTTTCTTATGTGGAAGTAGCCTTAACTCTTCCTGCAAAAAGTTATTTTGATTTAAAAATATTAAAATAAAGCACCAACATTTGTAGACCTATCTGCTTGCCCAGTGGAAACTGAATTCAATCTTCAATCAAATATGTTGATATTAAAACACTATTGTTTTAAAACAGACTTTTAGTCCTTAAAGGTGAATAGAACCAGCATAATTATTAGTTGCATACCATTCTGTGCCAAGACAACCCAGCACTGTGACCACGTAATCCATAAGGAAGTAATCTTTATGACCTCCATAACACAATTTGATTTATCTCCTCTGACTTCTACTTCATAAGGGATCCATTAAGAGTAGTTCCCTCAGATCTACCTCCATTTCAAATTGATCTTGTAGAATTTCCCCGCCACACTCAACTGTTGCAAAAGTAGTATTAAACAGGTAAACAGGTGAGAGAAGAGGATGAGCACCTATGTAATGCCAAACTCGCTTACTAGGCTGACTCAACTAGAACAATCATATATGGTTTCCCTGAAGAGGTGGCATAAGGGCATGATACCAAACCTTGGCTCACTGCTTTTCTAATATGACAGGCTAGCTTTTTTCCTCCCCTTTTTTTTTTTTTTTGAATCCCAATGACAGCTCTTGCTTCCTTTTAAGAACTTGTATTACAAACTTGGTAGAGTAGTTCAATTTGAGAGAACAGAGAAATCACTGGGGAAAAAAACGTCTGGTCTATCAAAAAATTTACATACACTAGTAAAACAGACGTAAGTCTAACAGTATTGTGGAAGTTGCAGTTAAATAAATCACTTCTGCTGAAGCTGGCCATATCCTTTCTGTCTAGAATTCGCGGTTTCATTTTAGCAACAGGCTAGTGAAAACACAGTATTCAGTTTTAAAATGTTTTTCCCACATTTACAAAATAGCTCTATAAGGAAAGCAGAAGGAAACAGGAGTTACAAAACATTTAGCAATTCAATTCAATACAGTATGGAGGATTAATGTCCCATTTAACATACTGATGTACATATCTCAGTATTTGCTCGTATTACTTCACTGAACTGCCTTTTTACAAGATGACTGCTGAAAACTTAATTTTTTCTACAGTAGCTTATCTGTGATATTGCTCCTAGTTATACCTAAGGTGTAACATTGGTTTCCATACAGCCATTTTAAGACTTTAACTTCCCTCATATTCAGGGATTTGACATGTGTGAACCACACCGAGTATTAGGTGAAATGCTGAGCTCTGAAACCAAACTTTCTTTCTTCCAACTGTTTAACATGCAAAGCGTTAATTGCCATAACAAAAAAATACTTACCTATCCACCAGTTTTTTAGCAAATCCAAAATCAGTAAGCTTGATATGTCCTTCTTTGTCTAGCAATATATTTTCAGGTTTTAAGTCTCTGTAAACTATTTCTTTGGAGTGCAGGTATTCTATTGCACAAATAATTTCCGTAGAGTAAAACAGTCCTGTGCTGTTGTTGAAACGCCCCATGTTGCGCAGGTAACTAAAAAGTTCTCCTCCTGGCACATATTCCATTAACATATATAAAAAACGTTCATCATGGTTCGTCCAAAATCTGTAATAAAAATATTATTTTATTGAATAAACAAATTCTCTCTGATTTGCTTTAGAAGTATACTTCTGTAAAGTGATCTGCTACCCCCACTATGTACATAATTTATGGTTCCTATTCCATAAACACTAAAAGCCCAAGGATCTAGCATGATTATGTAACAGACATTCAAGTAGCTGACTTAACCTGAGAAGTAAAGGAGATAGTCCAGGATGTGCACAGCATAGGTCAAGAAAGAAAATCTTTCAAAAAATTCATAGACTCCGTTGCACTGTACAAACCAGGTCTCTGCTAAGCACCCAATAACTGACTCACTATACTGCCAGTCTGGTAAGACCAAACAATTCTTACACATCTTACATTTTATTTAATCAAATACTGCCACAGTGATGAGTGGAATCTGCTTTTGTGAAGATGCTCATGACAATATGTTCAAAAACAGAACATCAGAGAGTTTTCCTTCCCCTCTCCTACTCCTTCCTCCTCAGAAATATACAACCCTAACTAAAGCATCAGATCACAATGCTCGCTCTTCTACAGCATCTTTAACAAAAACAATAGAAAAGGAAATACGACAGCAAAACAAGATTCACTTCTGTACCTCAGAGCTAACCTAATGATAAATACCTTCCATTCCTCAGACTGTTGCCTTTAATTTAAGAACTATTATTGTGGTACAGTCATTACTAGAATTCAGTAAAGAGCAGCTAAGGAAGAAAAAATCATTCCATGTGGCTTTCAAATGCTTCATTACAGAATACAGGAATCCTCTCTCCCACGTTCCCCAAAACTAAGCTATTTTTCTTTCTACCCACATTAAAAATCTCATATAAAACACCAAATGTAACTCAACAGTTAAGAAGAAAATAAGTATCTGGTAAACTCTTGAAGAATATTCTACCATTTTAAAACAAGCAGCTATCCCTATTACTATGATAACAAATAAAGAACATTATATCCCTACCTACTTTACTGATACAAGAATAGAAGTTATTTTAGCTTCTAGTAACTGCTTCTGCAGTATCACGAAAATGGAAAGATTTTTTTTTTTCTTCTTTTTTTGCCTTCATTATCTGGTTCCTAATCAAGGCATACAGTGTCAAGAAAGATAAGTAGAGCAAACTGAGCTCCCAACCCACGAGTGACTTTTGCTCAATATGATTTTCTTTCTTGATACCAGCACTGAGGCAACTAAGAAAATGAGACAGACTATCAGACATCAACAACAGCTCCTCCATTCCTTCAAAGCCACAAAGAAAGCGGAGCCCAGGCTTACCTTCTGCTGTTATGGCACTACTTCCCTATTACAAAGTCATCAACAGCAGTAATTGGCTATTGATGATGTTCACAGTATCTTTATGTAAAAACAGTCTTGAGATGTATTTTAAGTAATTAGGCAAAGTTGCATTACAATAAACAAAGAAAGAGGAACGGGAATGTGCAAAACAAAGCAAACCATGTATTTAAAAATACACTTACAGGAGAGAGGAAGGGCAAAATCTGACAAAAAATGCAGAGGAAGAAAATGGAAGACCTCGACCACTAAAACACAGCATTTTTACCAGAATTAATTTCTTCAGGAACTAACTCTTGAAGGTTTGTATATCCACAGAAAAATGAATACCTTATTTGATATACATGTAAAAAAGCAAAATAAAGAACTTTAATATTTGCAATACTAATTGCTTTAAATAGTATTTTAATACAAAAAAGGAAAACATCACAGAAGCTGTGATTAGAATAATATGCATGGTGTCATGTAACGTTACAATTCATCTTCACTATATGAACTCTGGATGCCATTCTGCACTCTTACAGACAAATAACCTATTTTAGCTTCTAAGACATAGACACAGTCTTATAAGACTATAAGACATAGTTGATTTTTATGAATTCTTGTTCTCTTAAAAAAAAATAATCAAAGATACATGTTAAAATTACAGCACAATATGAACTGTTGAACCCACAGAGATGATATGTCACTCAAACATGTCAGTAAAGATGGCCTAGGAGTCTCCAGTGACCAGTTGTTGCAAGAGCAGCAAACAAGCATTTCCAAAAAAAACAGTTTAAAAAAATAAGTAGATAAATAACTTCAGTATCTACAGAAAAGCAGGACCTCCTTACATGCAGGAAAGGCATTTATCAAAAGTAACATGAAAAGAAAAAAAAAAATTCTTATATAAAAGTCTTCATATATTGGAAGATACAGGAAGGATGAACACCAGAAATAAGTTATGTGCAGCATTACTTTAAAATTCTCCAGCATAAAGTGCTAAAAAAATTACAGTATTATGCTGCACTGACATGTATTCCTTGTTTTTCACGTAGAAGATAAAACCCATGTTTAAAATGGTGACACTAATTGAAAATATAAAAACCAGACCATGTAGATAACACAGTTCAAAGGCACTGAGGCAGAACTATATAGAATTCTTTTTCCCCTTTTTGTTTATCATTTACAGTCAAAGAATTAATGGAAAAAAAACATGTATTGGGAGGGAGAGGACAGGAGGCATCTGAAAAAAGCTGTTAGCCACACAAAAAGCTGCAGAAAGTTTTATTTGTCATACAGTCAGTGATAATCATCCACAAATGCTTGTTTAACCTAAAGCACACAAATATTAACCTGACTTAAAATTTAACTACCTCATTGCAGGTAGGTTGCTTTGAGTCTCCTTTGCCAAGGGACAACGGCATCACATGACAATTACATGAGCATAGCTGATGCAGCATCCCATTGAACATGTCAACATAAAAGGCAGAGAGCTAGAAGACATGAAGAATATTTGCCTTGCATACAAATTCCATTTGCATTGCATCCTTCCTTTGGTGATTTTAAAAACTGACATTGTGGAAATAAGGGACGAATGAAACCCGAGAAAACTTATCAGTTTAGATTTTTGATCACTTCTGTATGGACACAAACTCTCACATCCCTGTCACTGATTTCTCATCCAAGTTTCTCTATTCCCACACTTGCTGCGTGGTTCCAGATGCAGAGACATACTGGGTTGGGTTTTTTTAAGAATTTACTGGTTTTGGCAGGTTGGATTTTTTTTAAGAATTTCTGTATGTACATAGATATACAACCCTGTTCCCCCTGTTCCGTCTGTATTTTAACCAGTCTAACCAGATGTACTCAGCCTCTCCATCTTGCTTTCCTGCATGCATCTCAAACTCCACATACCCTAGAACTCATCTTACTGATACGACGCCACACACGGGATTTCTGAACGCTGGCTGGAAGCTAATAGCATAGTGATGCTGGAAAAAGCAACAGCACACCAGGGAAAAAGCCTCCTCCTGCAGGGCTCTTTCCATCTTTCATGTGACTACCATGTTTTTGCCTCTTCTTTTCCCTCTGATACGTTCTTAGCCCTGGGAGGAGGCTGCAATCGCTGCAGCTAGAGATTAACTAAGGGTAATTTTGTCTAATTTTATGTAAAACTGATTAAGGTAGGTAAATGCAAAACAAATCTTGGTCAATGGCCCTCTATCCATGCATGAGAAAATAAAAATGGAAATTAACTGTGCAATTACCCAGAGGTTTAGTTATCGCATTAACAGATATGGACTCAAACACACAGAAGGCCTTGTGGTGCTATGAAGAGAAAAGCATGATGCCTTCTCTGATTAATAAAGGGATCACTGGGAGCTTTAGAATGATCACAATTCTACTAAAAAAGCATTCTTCATGAACTGTGTTTAGATCGTATTTTGTGATAGGTTCCATCACTTAATATCAAATATGGAAATAACAAAGCCCAAGTGCTGCAGTCATTAAAATTCTTTAAAAATAAAGTTTGCTAAGTAAAATTCACAAATTTTCAAAAAGAAGATACTTAAGCCTAATTATATCTTTATTTAGAAATCTATAGGACATATATATGTAGAAATACTTATTTTCTTGCCATTCTAACATAAAGTCATTCTAGAAGTCATTTTGATGAGCCAATCCTAACATTTCTTCATTAGCATTTTCCTCTCACTTAAGAAAATTTCTCTTCTGCAGTATGAAAATAAGAGACAGGGTAAAGCTTAAAGTAAATTATTGCTTAAATGTTTAAATTATGCCTCTAGATTTTAAATTCTTGATTCTTCTGTAATACATACTTTGGTCTCAAGCCTGTTTTAGTCTAGATTACATAACAAATCAAATGCTTGGTGTTGTTTAAGTACATAAGAACTTTCAATAAGACTCAAATACTTTAACTGCACTTTATATATGAGTTAAAGGAATTAAAAAAATGCAACAACTTACAATCTGATCAAAAAGGGATGGTTGACTTCTTTCAAGACTGACTTTTCATTGTGTACATGTTGCTCTTGCTTCAGTCGAATGACATCAGGAATGCTCATTACTTTCAGTGCAAAGTAACGTTTGGCCATTTTTTCCTTCACCAGATGAACACGTCCAAATGTACCTGTGCCTGAAAAAGTTGAAGAAGAAACATCAATGTATTGTAAAAAAGAAAAAAAGCAAAGATCATTTATTAAATTAAAACCTACAGGAACTCAATTCCTGGTTTGGTTTCGTGTTTGTTTGCTCTTTATTTTTTTCCCCCTCATCAATATATCAATATTACATTTTTTACCTGTCTTCACACTTTTTTTTTCCTTGGGATTTCCCAATTTTTAGTGATAATGACTTAATAAAAATAACAGTAATGTGATACTGCCACTCATTGGATGGATACCAGAAGCATTTCTTGCAAAGGGAAGTGGTCCTGAGAAAGGGTTAGGAAGATGTATTAAAAAAATAAAGTATGTAGGACATAAGATTCAAATGTAACCAATATAAATTAATCAGACAAAACTGTTTTGAAGTGCAGAAGAAAAGCTAGGAAACGTTCTCTTAAATTTTAGAAATCAGTCTTAATTTAGATTGAGTAGGGAGGTCCGAGATAAACTCAACATTCAGCTTATTATAGCCACAGTGCATGGCGTAAACAAAAAAAAAAAAAAATCATCATCACTAACCAAGAATGTAAAGTTCAATTGTAATGGATTTAATAATTCCTCAACACAAAAAACTACTTAATTTTTCCTGTATTTATTTATTAAAACAAGGCAGCTAAAAAAAATCAGTCAGGATTTAAAATGTAGGAATTCGTAACACAGAGTACAGAACATACAAAAATAATGGGAACAACAAAAACAAACAAACAAAAAAATCATCTACCAAGATTCAGTGACTGAGAACACCTGTCTGCAACTATTCAGGTGAGGAGATTATTCCCTTAAACGTACACAGTGAGGTGAAGTGATTCAGTGGTATAAGGGAATGATGGGAAAAAAATACTTAAAAGTTGCTGATCCTTCCAAAAACAAATCTTAAAGAATCTGCTTATAGTGCTGCATCTTTTTATCACATGGAAACTGTAGGTCTCATACACCCTTTTTTTGTAGTTAATGTATACCTTTTTCAATTCACTCAAAAATATAAAAGGAAAATTAAAACATGGAGTCATTTAAATAATGTATTATGCATTTCTCTATTCAATACAATAGTCGTTAAAGTTCCTTTTAAGTGCACTGCACTCAAGGCAATTATACGTAACTGAACTGAGTATTTCTTCCAGTTTGAAACTAAAGTTAAAACTAGCACATTTAGCCACACTGCTATTTGTATTGCAGCACAGTATTATACATTCGAAGAGAAACACACATTTCAGCTCGCTGGGTGGTTGCTCCTTGTTTTTTTGCTCATTAAACAATGACATGTATGTTCCATTAGAACAGTACACCAGATATTTTTAATCCTATTCTCTGGCAGAAATATGTGCTGCTATAAAGGATGCTTGGCATTCAAACCAATTGCCTAACTTGTAAAAGGTCACTCTCTTGTTGAAAAATGTCTTCCAAAAAAGTCAAAATCTTACATTTCAGCTCAAAATCAGCCCCTTCTTTGCACATAGCCTAGAAAGGCAGCCCATAAACCTGTTTCAGTATTATTAACTGATATGTCAATTGATTTCAGACTGTGCTGCTGACCAGTTATGGTCAATCTATACTACAAGACAATCTTCTAAGACATGCAGTGGGTGGAGGGAGATGAGTAGGTACGTGAAAGGAAATAGATTTTTGAGAGAGAAGCAGGGAGGAGAGACCAAAAAGCAAACTTTCAAAACTGCATTACTTGGGGAAGGGAGAAAAAACAAAGGAGTTTTTGCCTCTAGTAGGTGCAAGAAACCTGAGAATTTATGAAAAAAAAGAGTTTGTTTTCTGTATATGTATTCTCACTTAAAACATTTACATTCTACTTAACAGTTACACTTTCCAGTCACTTGTAATATTGTTTAAGAGCATGGCATTTACTAAAAAAACAACACAAAATATTCATATTACAAACCAGAAATTAACAACTTCAGCAATCCAGTTTTATGCAACTTGCAGCTCCATTACCAAAGCAGCTTTCAAAACCAGCTTCGAGATAAAACTTCTCACTACACAAACCCACCAAGGATTATAGTGCAAAAGATTCTATCAGAGCAGTTTTACATTCCCACCTGTCCTGAGTTACAGTTCTTTAACCATGAAAACTGTAAACAGGTCTCAGATAAAGCCTGCTGTTACAGTGAAGTAAGCCATCAGGTTACCCTGGAAAATTTATAATGCAATTAAATCCCTTAACAATGCAGTCACATTATATGACTATACCTGTAAACAACCTTATTTGCATGGGGATGGGCTTATGCAGTAAAAAAAACCCATACCAAAATAAGCCCCAGAAGCTTCCAAGCAGAGATGCCTGTTCAAGCTATTTAAAATACTGATTATTTACATGTATACTGAACGCACAGACAAAAAAAAAAAAAAACAAAAAACAAAAAACAAACAAAAAAAAAAAAAACAAAAACAAACAAACAAACAAAAAAAAAACCAACAAAACAAAACACAACTTGGGTTATTTCAGAATTAGGAGCTGAAATTTCAGTTCTGAGAAAACACTGTCAAGAATAACTACAGCCATATTACACATCAAAGCTAAAAATCATCTTAAATTTTTAAGACCTCCAAATGTGGACCTGGGGAAATTAACAGCACCAACCCTGTAAGTAAATGCTGGTTTCATATGCATTTTGATACTTGTATGAACAAAGTGCTTCCATAGACATATTCAAGAGGAAAGTCAGAAGTAAACACATACCTAATTGTTCCTAGGTCTCTAGTGATCTCATGTTTTATGACTTGTTCTACTCGTCCCAGAAATTTTTATTTTAGAATGCTTTAATTTTTCCTTATGCTATTGTTCTAACTTTACAAATGGTGCTGCTCAGAAATAATACAAGTAGTAATACTAGCAGTCACAAGTCCCATCCATTTTCAAAGAAGGACCTGTTGGGGACTTACTTAGCAATAGTTCTAACTTTGGAAACACGGCCTCTTTAAAAATATTTCTGCCATGACTGGCAAAGCCTGGCAGGCTATTCCGGAACAGTGGCAAGCACCTAATCTAGAGAGCCTCTGGGAAAACAAGAAGACCACACAGACAGGCAAGAACATACAACCTCCCTAACCAGTTTTATTGTTGAAGTGATTGCAGGCAGTCTTTTTTCAAACAACTTGAGCCCTATTTCAAGCAACTATGGAAATCAAGCAGACAATACAGACCAAGAAGCCATCTGACATTTGTTTTCAGATGTCTCTTCTCATAATACAAATTTTGTCCTATTCCAGTCTTCTCAGAAAATCCATTATGCCTACATCAGTTGGTAGTGACAGTACCCAGACACACAACCACCACCCTTCCAGCACTTTTGACAAACAATATGCTCTCTTAAAGCCCTAAAGAAAAATATTAGTGATGTTCTGGAATTTACTTATGCCATTTTCAGACAAACTCCTCTCACTGCAAAGAGAAGCAAAGAGCAAACATGGTGAGTATGACTTATTTTTTCAACCAAGAAAAAAAAAATAGTTTAACCATATGGGGCCATTAACAAGGGGCAGAAGGGGAACTTGCTGAAACTTAAACACAGTTGTAAAAAGTATACACATGGAGTTTAATTTATGCCTTTGCACAGCCACACACAGGACTAATTGTTGGGTGCTTTTTTTTTAAGCTTTAGACAGTCTTCAGACAACTAGATAACGTTTGCATACAAAGATGACTACAATTCAAACATCTAACTTCAGACTTTTGGTCTGGATGTCCTCCTCATGTTTTTATCCATTTCTGCATAGAGTTTTAAAATTCTCTTCCTTGCAAATGGGGGTGAAGAGGGGGGGAAAAGAAAGGGATGGGACATGACAGTCAAGATAGGAGGCTGCATCAAGGTGTTGTTATAGTTGTTCAGCACAGGCAAGAAAATCTAGCTGTTTCATAAAACCAGGTTTTATTGTTGTGATTAGGTGGAAATTCTGCCCCTCACGTTCATGGAAAGAAAACTAAAAAACTGAAAAAGCGAAGTGGCAGCATGTAAGATGGAAGCCCAGTTCCAAAAATTTGAGGGAAGGTTTCTGCAAGCAGAAAAAGGCAGGGTTACTGGTCTTCTATCAAAGCACCACTGCCTTCTCTCCTCCAGAAAGATCATGGAACAGTTTCTGTTAATCCCCATGAAAGAATTGTTCAATTTTTTGCCCTGATCACCTCAGAGCTCAGCTGTATGAACGGGTTAAATTTGACCTTCTGTGACAGCTAAACCAACATGCCTTTGGATTACCTTAAAAGGGGAATATTCTGTACTTGCCTGTCTTGCACATAATAATGAAAGGAAATACAGTGTTCACAGATTTGCACAATATTCTACTGACACTTATTTAACGTTTAATTCAAACCAAGAGGTCTTCAGAGATGGTGTACCATTCCAGACAAGCCTTGGGATCTACCAAGTACTACCCTGCTGAAGGAAGAGCAATGGCTACACACACAAACGTGCATATCCCTACTTGTCTTCTCTTTATTATAGCACGTAATGAAAGAGTTTTAGAGCAAAAATGTGCTTACATCATAAAATTATACCTCATGAAAACACTTGTTATTAGAAGGTCTGAAGGAGGTTTTGTAGTTTATTTGCACAGTCTCATTCTCCCTGCTAAGGCATATAGCAAATGAGGGTTTCTGGCTACCAGTAACAAAAGCAAGTGAAGAGTGCCTGTGCTACTTGCAACATGCAACACAACTCAAGATTTTCAGGACTAAATGGGCAAACAGAATAAAGCATGCAAAACTCTAACCACTAATCCAGCATAATCTGTTTACAACAGAAACAATAAAATTTTTTGATCCCTTTGCAAATTTAATGTGGTTGCAGAACTTGAAGGAATGCCAGCAACCTTCTCGCATTAAACACACATAAAGAGAGGAGGAATAAAACTGAAGACGACCAGTTTGGCCTAGGTATCAAACGCAAGAAGGGCATTCTCAGTCTTACGAAACAAGCCGGATTCCCTAATGCCATGGCAAAATACCATAGCCAGTTTCCAG